ACCGTCATCGCGTCGTTGGATGTATTATGTGATACCTAATACTTGATCTATACATCGATATGTATCTTGCATGTACATATATGTATTTATATTTAACTATGTATCCGTAGGTCTGATGTGGAAACTCGTATCACACATATTCAACCGCAATAGTTGTATTCACAACGCATACACAGCAATATTATATATCTGGCGCACATGTCATTCGTAATTAGTTTTCACTAACGTTTCTCAACCATGTTAAAACTTTTATAAAATTTCTATATTTTAATTATTTTACTAAACATTTTATTTAAATTACATTATTTTATTTATATAATCTACATAAACTTTAGTTATTATGATATTTACAACAAGGTTAATTTATTTCACAATTTAATACATATTTTATTTTCTATATTTTCACATTTTACATTAGGCATTTACTTTAATTAAATTATATGTTTAAACAATATTTAGGCTCTGAAGATGGCATTACGCCGAAACAGCGCTGTTAGCTTTATTCCAGTTTTAGATAAATATGAACTCAAACAATACCGCCTCGTTGAATGTCTTATAAAGAAGTTAATTAATGCAAAATGGGCAAACAATTTCAATGAAATTTGCATTTCTGAAAACCTCGTTCCTAAATATATATATATATATATATATATATATTACCTGTTTGCCTCCATGTATATCATCATTGCTGTTATTATTTTTGTCGTTGTTCTTTTTGATGTTATTGTTGCTTTTGTTAATGTAGTTATTGTTGCTAATCTGCTGTCATTCATTTATCCATCCGTCCGTCCTTTCATTCATACATACATTCATTCATTCATACATTCATTCATTCATTCATACATTCATTCATTCATTCATTTATTCATATTGATTTTTAATTCAATGATAGACTAATTTTGTTTATCCATTTATAAATTTTTTTTTAAACCCATTGAATCGTGTTTTATTAACTTCCTATTTTTTGTTCATTCATTCGTTCATCCATTCATTCATTCATTCATTCATTCATTCATTCATTCATTCATTCATTCATTCATTCATTCATTTATTTATTATAAAGTTCTACACCTTATTGTTCCCACACTTGGTTGTGTTTATAATTCAACATTCTTTATTGATTATTACACACGTTTGTTTGTGTGTGTGGTGTGTGTGTGTGTGTGTGAGTGAGGTGTATGTTTGTGTGTGAATATATTAGTATGCTTGTGCGTTCTTGTGTGTGTGTGAGTGAGTGAATGATTTGTATATTTATTTATGTGTGATTTTGTAGATGTTATTGTGTTTGCATGCTTTCATTTTTTTTCAATCATAAATGAAAAACATGTTAAATCAGCCATCCACGAAGCGCAAAATCTTCAATTACCTAGCGATAGATTAATTATTCATCGATTAATTAATCGTTAATTAATTAATTAGTTATCACTCAATCACAGTCCTCATGAATATTGATTAGGGGATGTGATCCTAGCGATAAACAACGAGAACATTGAGAATCTGCAGCACGATCAGCTGGTCCATCTTGTACAACATGCCAGCAATCCTCTCAGGTCAGTTCGTGTGTGTTTGTGTGTGTCTGTGTTTTTCTGTGTGTGCGTGTGTCTGTCTGTCTGTGTGTGTGTGCGTGTTTCTGTCTGTATGTATGCGATGTAATAGTAATGACGAGATGGTGAAGAAGATGATGATGGTTATAAAAAGTAATATTATACGGAGGATTGTTATGGTGATGATGACTCATGGATGATGACGACGACGACGATGACGATGATAATTTAACTGCCTATTGTTCTGTGATGTCTGAAATTATTCACACTTCTTGATTCACACTTCTTGATCAATGCTTCACATGAAACTATTAATAATTTGAATGCACATTCCGGTAAATAATTCTGGAATGTGAATTAAGGAAGTTATATTTTCATCTGGATATTCCACATTAAAAGTAATTATTGTTGTTTTTATTAACAATGAAATAATCAATCACATATGGAGAGAGAGAGAAAGAGAGAGAGAGAGAGAAAGAAAGAGAGAGAAGAGACATTGTTTTTTTTAATGTTAATTGAATTGGGTATACATATACATGTTCATGTACAGTACACATACTCATGTGGCAGACACAACATCCAAATGTGTGTGTGTGGCTTGTATGCGTGCGTGCTAGCGTGTGTTTGTGTAAAGTGTGACAAAGTGAAAAACGTTAAATTTGTTTTAAGTATTGCTGTGCCTGTTGATCTTTTTATTATTATCATTATCATTATTCAGCTTTCATAATGATGTTTATTATTATTATTATAATTATTATTATTATGTTAATTATTATGATATTATAATGCGATGATGGTATTATTATTATTATTATTATCGCTTTGATGTTTATTATGCTTGCTTATGAAGATAGAGTGAGGAGATAGTTTGATGATGATGATGAAAGGTTGGTTGGTGGGCTTGCCCTGCAGATCATTAAATGCTTTTATATTATTTTTTTTAATCTTTCAATAAATACACATACACATACACACACAGACACACATGCATGCATACATACATACACATACCAATATATACCCAATTACACATATACATACTGTTATAACCGTGCTTACCGAACGCACTAGATTCTAGCGTATTCTAGAATCAGAATGTTCTAGTGACTGGAGCATTCTAGAGTATGCTAGAATCAGACCATCTAGAAGAATCTAGAAACGACGCTTGCGAAGAGTATATAAGCGCACGTCGCAAGAGGATTAGTGAAATTCGTGATTTTGTGATTTTGTGAATAGCGATTCGGTGAATTATTTAAAGCGATATTTGATTTGTTTGTTGACGTTGTCATAGCGATAGATTTTGAACAATTTAAAAGTTAATTGTTGCGTTGTTGGAAATAAACGATTAGTTGATTTCTTCTGTAAATAAAGTTTAATAACTAATAACTGTTTGGAGTATTTTATTCAATCGAAGATTTGAACCCGTCGCATCGTAAATCGGTTACGACAGCGAGTATTATAACAATACATACATTTATACATACATTCATACATATACACACACATACATACATACATACATACATACATACATACATACATACATACATACATACATACATACATACATACATACATACACACACACACACACACACACACACACACACACACAATAGTCGTATGGATATATTAGGTTATTTGTATTATGTTATTATGATTTTATTCATTATTTTTATTTTAATTTAATTTTCCACGTTTGTATTCCATTATTACGATGATTATTCGTTGTTGGTGTTGTCTGGTTGTACTTTCATATTGATTGACAAGTTATCTTATTATGATTATTATTATTTGCTGTTGATGCTATGTTAATGTAACTGATGCCTCTATCAAGATCATCCGATGGCTGTCATGTTTTGTATGGAAATTAATCTGTCATGCATTTAGCTCTATCCGTTTATACTTGGTTTGTCTGTCTGGTTTGTTTGTTTGCTTGCTTGTTTGCCTTGTTTTCATCATATACCAGATCATATACATCATCATTATCATTGTTATCATCATCATCATTAGCATCTTCGTTATCATCATTAGCATCATCGTTCATATCATTGTCATTATTATCATCACCATCATCGTCGTCGTCGTCGTCTTCTTTATCGTCATCTTCCTTAATTGGGTTCACATGATTATTTTTTTGCCGTTTGGAATTCCGACGCCATGCTCATGCTGGTCCTGGCAGCGATGATGATGGTGATGGTGGTGGTAGTGATCCCCGTTTCAACTTGAAAGAGTGAAGATGAAGGAATGAAGAAATGAAAGGATGGATGGGTGGATGGATGGATAAGTGATTAACTGTATGAATGATTAAATGGATAGATGGATGTATGGAAGGGGATTGATTTGATAAAAAAAAGTAAATGAACGAACGATAGGATGGATGAATGTAAAATTTATGGATTGATGAATGGATAGAGTGGTGAATGAATGAACGAGTGAATGATTTGGTGGATTAATTTATATTTAATTGAATTAATATAAATAGATGGATAGATGGATGATTTGATAGAAGAATGATTGATTGAATGAATGAATGAACGAATAAATGAATAACGACAATTATAACACCTTGTATTAATAACGTTATAAAAAACTTTATGCATGCTTACTTAAATACATACATACAAACATTTATACAAACAAACATTCATGCATGCATACATACAAACAAACATACATACATACAAACAAACATACATACATACACACAAACATACATACAAACATTCATATACACATACATACGTACGTTATATCCATATTTTTTTGTTATCATGTACGTATGTGTGTATATATCTATGTATCTATTTATGTAGATAAATGTAATGTACGTACATACAATGTACATTCCAATTACATGTATGTATGCATTATATTGAAAACAACAACAACGCAATAATACAACACGTTTTCTTTACGTGTACTTTGTGTTGTTTTGCTATCATATGCACTGGAATGCATACATTAACACGTAAAACAATCACTCACACACACATGCACGCCAAAAAAATAAATTTTTTACTTGTTATTTTAGTCATTCATTCTGACATTTTAACTCCATGAATATTCCTTCCAAATATCAGCAACACGTTTGAGTTTGTTTGCTTTCTGTCCGTTCGTTCTTTCGCCTGTTCTTTGTTCATCTCCTCTGTCTTTGTAACTTTTCATAACAAGGCCCGACAGCATTTCAAAGTTTTGGCCGATGTGGATTAGGTGGTTGATTATAATCTAGCTCCTCCGTCCATTTAGTAATCGGGTAGAGATGTACAGATGTCTTTCAGTTCAATTTGTTCATAATATTTTATATAGATGATCTTTAGATTGAAAATTTGGATCTATTTTTCACTAAAATTGGAATATTTTGTTTAACAATTGTTCGAAAGAGCTTCCAACCATCGGCGCTTTATTTTTTATTCTTCATGATATTTTCATCCTTACCATAAACGTCATCATGTCGGGACTCATCAGTCCGTGATGTATTTGCGTTGTTGTATGTCGCATTAATGTTGTTGTACTGTACTACACTCAGCATGTAGCCAACTTTTCTGTACACCTATAACAATGACGTCATCTTTGGTGTACATGTAATTGTGTGCATCTTCTTGTCACCGTCTTCAGCTTACGTTTGATGCCTTGCAAGAGATCAAACCAACCATTATATGCAGTTGAAGTTGTCAAGTGCTGGCTGATGATGTTGCTGATGGTGATGATGACGATGGTGATGATGATGGTAACAGTGATGATGATGATGATGATGGTGGTGGTGGTGATGTCAATGGTGGCTGTGTTTGTGGAATGCTAACCATAATTTCAAAAATAAGTTGTGTTGTGTGGATTAAATTTTGCATAAATTTATAATAATAATAATAATTATTATTATTGTTGTTGTTGTTGTGGTTATTATTATTATTATCATTGCATTAGTATCCAGCTGCTTTGAGTTAATGAAGTTACATTATGTAGATAGGTGGCAGTTTTCTCTTCACTGTACTCTCATCTCGTTTCTGAGTTAATGTCGTAATTGTTTTCAGGTGTTTATTTTTATTTGTAATTGTTTGTAATGGTTTATATTTGTTTGTAAGTGTTTTTTAATAATAAGTCCAAAGTCCACCAGGCCAAACAAGTCATTTTCAGGCAGTGTGATTGACATTCAAGAATCAAGAAGAACTTGGCCACGTCGATGAGAAAGTCTTAGTGGTGCACATTGCAATAAACATTCCACAACCAAAACCAATGGAGAGGGGATCATCTCCAGATACTCTGATACCAATGAGAGAGCTTCATCTCTAGATACTCTGATACCCGGCGATATGACGCCATCATCATCCAACTTATCGTAAGATGCATTCCTCATGCCTTGCACGCAAGATTCTGCTTTTGTTGAAGGAGATGTTAAGCAGATTTCTAAATAGAAATGTTAAACAGATTTCTAAACGAAATGATAAACAGATTTTTAAACAGAAAATTGTTGGTAGGGTGAATTGATGGGTGGGTGGGTGGTGGACATGTGAATCTCATTATTTGAAATATTCAATTAAAAAATCAACTGCACTGTTATTGCGCAGCGCTATTATCTGATACTAACACCAACATAGTAATTATGAAATTTTTATTAGCAATTATTCTGCAATTATCTTTAAAAAGGATATCTATGATGATGACGAAGATGATGACATGATGGTGATGGTAATGTTGAAATGATGATGATGATATGATGATGGTGATGATGATGATGGTTAGGATGATGATATGATGATGATGATGTTGATATGATGATGGTGATGTTGAGATGATGATGATTTTATTATAGGAATGATGTTTATGATGATAGCCTAACGGCTTTTGGATTTTCAGTTCATTTGTCAATCAGCTTCTGGTTTATTTATTTGAATAAATCTTTTCCCGTCTGCACGACTTGTAAATGAAACAAATTTCATTTTCTATAAATAAAATAAATATCATTTTAATCATTTCTTTGTTAGATGTTCCTTTCTTAGATTTATTCAAGTTTCAACTTACATGACTGTCTGGATATACTATGATATATATATATAGATATAAAAATGATGATAGATGGGTTATGATTACGATAGATAGGTAAACAGTATTATGACTCTGATGCTATGATATCATTACAAAGATAGTAATAATATTATAGAATTGATAATAAAATCGCTGCCATATATTTTATAAGAGTCAATTTGTATCATATAACTTTTTTTGTGCTTAACTCGTTAAAGTACTTGTGCGATCTCTTGACTTGTGTTATTTATTAGTTGACATCATTTTTAACTTAAGTACCTAAGTATATATTAGAGTGAAGTATTTTTTTTAGTTCAGTGCTGTGTTGCTATGTTTTTAGTTTTAACAAACGATATGAGATATAACTCAGGTGAAAAATCGAACTTTCTAACTGCTTACATTAACTACTAATGTGAAACTTTTGCATTTTGAAATTCATTGTCGTTTCTAAATTTTAATTGGGACGCTTTTTAAAATAATAATTAGGAACAACAGTTATGAACGTATTAAAACCACCACAACGTGCAAAAAAAATATATGTTCAAAATATTTCACTTCTATAAACAAATCTGAGATGTATAATTGGTAAACATTTTGTTGTCGTGGTTGTTGTTGTTGTCGTTGTTGTCGTGGTTGTTGTTGTTGTTGCTGTTTTTAACAAATCTTTTTATAATGACATATTGGAAAACACTTGCAATGTATTTGAAAAGATCAGATTGGCTGTTCATCTCTAAAGGAACATCACATTGCTTATATAAAACTCTATCACATTAATCTTAGAAAATATTTGTCATTGGCTCAAACTTGCTAACTAGATTTAGCAGGAATGTATGATTGAACTTTTTCTATTATAGAGACAACTTACTATGTCATAATATTTGAAGAGAGCTATCTTGCTCAAGTGACTCTGAATGTTTTTAACTGCCTTTCATACTGCAACAGCAATTTTTTTTGACAAATATATTTTTAGTAAAATATTGTTGATAGTCTTGATTCTGTTTAATCTCAAAAAAGTTTCGAGTGAGAATGCTTTGATTGATGGCTCGCAGTACGCTGGCTGATGTGTTTGTTTATTTATATGAATCAGGTAAGAATAACTCGAAGGTCTTGTTAATCTGTGGAGGCTAAAATATTCGGTTCGACTGTACGATTAGTTTTGTAATTGCTTAATTTAATGTAACTTCTTTTTGAAATTAGATTGGTATTCATTTGTTACAATTTCTCTTCAGTTTTTCTTACATATGCGAACAACAAAGACCAAGATGCCGTTGCAATTTTTTGCTTCAACTTAGATAGTTCATAGTCATGAGATGGTATGATGATGGTGGTATATGAATGTTCATTTGCCTCATATGAACGTTTGTATGCAAAATTTTAAAAAAAATGCAAATGAATGAATGTAGAATTTAAAAAAAGTGTTTTTTAAAACTTCTAATAAATTATGATGTTGTTGTTTCTATACATCAATAGCTTCATTGTCCTACTAAAACTTTATCGCCTGCTTGCTTGCTCACTTGCATGCACACACAAACACACGCACACACAATTACACACAATGACTCTCACTTATTTAAAATAACTTGGCAGGTACGTATTTTATTTCTATTTCATCAAATAAAAATTATCGAAGTCACGTATGTACGTACATGTACATCTAACTAGTTTTGTACACACTGTACAGGTAGTCTCAGTAGAGTCATCAGACTAGTCAGTGCTAGATATCTGAGAGCAATTTATGTTCTTCTAGCTGCAACATGCGTTGTTAAATAGGCAAATATCAATCTCCAACTGATATATTATCGTCTACCTGATGTGGAAATGTCTGCTGTTGTCTGAGTTTTTAAATTTTTTTTTCGAGCACTTTTTTAAACATTTAAAGGTCATGCAACCTGTTACCTATCCATCATACACAATTAGTCAACTATCACACGTATTCATGTTGTACGTTGTATGTGCCTGCATAGTTGATGATACCTGGGTGTTTCGTACCAGAGCGAGTACCATTGGCATTTAACATGGAAGGATGGATACTTTCCTTTTCTGGTATCGCTACTGACGATCACCTCTAAGTCTTGAATTTGATTTCATGCATGCCTTATAAACGTGTCGACAAAGTCTCTATGATAGATTAGTTTAAAAAAAGTTAATAAAATTCACTACGATAAAATATGTGCGCGCGTGTGTGTATGTGTGTGTATGCGTATGTTTGTGTGTGCATGTGTGTGTATATATGTGTGTGTGTGTATGGTTTAGTTAGTTTTTAATATCACGTTGATTATAAATGAGATTGGCTTTATTTTCGCTTTGAAGATTAGCACACATAACAATGAAATAACTGGCGGTAGCAGGATTTTTACAGTTCAGCCTGTACTTTATTAGCGCTGAGACAGCCATTTGTTCAATTTTTTTTTTTTATATTTTTGGTTTTTCTTCCCATTATGTTTGTTATCATTATTGTTGTTATTATTTTAATTATTAAATATTATAATTAATTGTAATTATGACTAATAATTTATAATTGAGAGTTTATGCGGTGATAATTATCTTAAAAAATATTTAAATGACTTTCTATAAATGAATAAATAAAAATCATCATCGTCATTTTCAATCTTCTCTTTGAGGAATTCGTTGTATCTGGTGATGACTTTTTAATTAACTTCTAATTATTACTAATATACTCATTGGATCAAGATTAAAATGTTAATAGTGATTGTTTTTGATTGTTCATTTCTTATTCATTCATTCATTCATTCATTTATTCGTTTGTTCGTTCATTCATTCGTTCGTTCATTCATTCGTTCGTTCGTTTGTTCATTCATTCGTTCATTCATTCATTCATTCATCTATTCATTTATTCAGTCATTAAAACAGTAAAGAAATTATGAGTCATGATGCTGATGTTTATGACGATGGTGACGTCATAACTTGATGATGACGATGATGACGACGATGATAATGTTATATAAGCGATGAAGATAATAATGACAATGTTAATGATTACAATTGATGGTTACAATGTTTACAATTACAGTTGAGATGGTTAAGATGAAGATTCCCAATTCATTCTGACGTCAAATTATTGTTGTTATTATTATTATTGTTATGTAGTATTATTTTATTATTTAATTATTATTATTGTTGTTGTTGTTATTGAGATATCGAATGGCGGACAATCAAATTATTATTGATAAGTAATTCAAGACCGGGTCAAATCACATGGAGACATCTGGGTCAGGTCAATGAAGGGAATTGATGTTCAATAATATCTCTAATTAATGAGTTCACAGTTAAATTTAATTGTTAATGATAATATTGTTATCATTCTGTTTTGACATAATTTGTGTGTGTGTTTGTTTGTCTGTGTGGTGTGTGTTTGTGTGTGTTTAGGTGTCTGTGTGTGGTGTGTGTGTGTTTGTCTGTGTGTGTTTAGGTGTCTGTGTGGTGTGCGTGTGTTTAGGTGTCTGTGTGTGGTGTGTGTGTGTGTTTGTCTGTGTGTGTTTAGGTGTCTGTGTGGTGTGCGTGTGTGTTTAGGTGTCTGTGTGGTATGTGTGTGGCATGTGTGTGGTATGTGTGTGTGTGTGTGTTTAGGTGTTATAAATCCCCCGTTTGATTTGACTAATTAGCATGTCCAACAACTAAAAGCAGTGTTCGTGAATGAAGTAATGAATGCATTGGAATGTTTTCATTCTAACAATATAACAATTAATATTGTTTAACGATAACAACAACAACATCGTCGTCATCGTCATCAGCAGCAGTCAGAAACGACATTATCATCATCATCATCTAGAATATCGTCATCGTCAACGTAACCGAAACATATATACTAATATTCAGGATTATTGTCATGTTTGAGGATTGGTGTCAGAAGATTGACCTGAGCGTCCGGAAGCTGAGGTTAAAGGTCAGTCCAGTGGCTTTGCATGCAGTGATGATGGTGATGTGATGACGATGTGATGGTGACGATAATTTGATGATGATAGTGGCGTTGTTGTTGATGGTGTCGAGAGTGACGACGATGAAGATGGTTATATGGAAGTGATTATTGTATTGCTACAATTAAGGCGTTCAATGCGATGATGGTAAATACGACGATGATAATGATGGAGATGGTGGTGGTGATGATGAAGACGATGCTAGCTGGTGGGATGAGATGAAGTGATGGAGAAGGTGATTAAAAAATTCCGATGGTAAATAACGATAATGACGATTCAGTTCAGGTTTATTTAGTTCCGTTTTACCATTTTTTTTGTCAGCAGTCTACACCACACGATGGTCCCATGATAACATTAGCTTTGCTGAGGTTTCGATGAAAATTTTTAAGGATGGTAATGATAGAATTTGATTTTGATGATGATGATATTTAATCATCATCGTCATGATGGTGAAGACCATGGTGACTACAGGCTGCACTAACCGCGATCAAATTTATTATACCATTAAGGATAACTTTTGGAGAATGTGATCACAATGAAGATGGTGATGGGTGTAATAATTTTGTTGTCATAAATTTGATGCTGGTGATGTCCTTTAATGGTGTAATGATGTTCATGTAGATGATGATGATGATAATGATGATGATGATGATGATATTGTTGTTGACAGTGAAGATGATGATGATGATGACTTGAAACAATATGTCTCCAACTTTAGCAATGTTTGAAGGAGAAGACATTGGAGTTGAAAAGGCTGGAAGAATTAGAAAGAAAAATATTGACGAGTATGTTTTACTGACTTTGTTTTTTTCTGTATGTCTGCCTCTTTGTATGTCTCCGTCTTTGTCATTTCTTTTTGTTTGTCTATTTCTCTAACTGTCTGTATGTCTGTCTGTCAGTATTCGCCTAGTTATATTCACAGTATATGCCATCATCAAACCATCCAACAACCGTCCAACAACCAATCAGCAGCCACTCAACAACCACCCACCAACTATCCAACAACAACAATCAACCATCTTTCAACAATCAACCACCCAACAACAACAACCACCACCAACATAAACCAACCATACTACAACAATCAACCATCCAAGCCACCACCAATAACCACCAACAACGACCAGTCTTCCAACAACAACAATCACTCACCGCCAACAACCACAACAACAGAAGCAGGCATGAGCATAGATGACATAGAGAGAGAACTGACCCAGCAACAGATCAACCTCACAAAAACCTCTCTCGACAGTCTCACGTCTACAGAGGAACACAACTTCGACGCCCTCATAAGAAACCACCGCAGAACTCAAAAACATCAACCGCAACCACATGACATCAACTGCTGTCATCATGACGACTGCTGCTCCATGCATTCCAGCTCTTCCAATTCACTATTTGATGATGTATGCATGCATCGCAATGCATACAGCAGTGCTCCCATCAGTTACAAGAAGTTCAACTATTTTTCTTGGTGCGTTTGTTTGTCTGGCTATGTATGTTTGTATGTCTGGTTATTGTGTTTGTCTGGGTATGTATGTGTGTTTGAGTGTGTATGTGTGTTTGTGTGTGTGTTTTTAGAATTTACAATAGTGAAAAGGATATTTGTATGCATCAATAAAGTGGGTCTATTGTATATTGTATGTGTGTGTGTGCGTGTGTGTGTGCGTGCGTGTGTATGTGCGTATGCCTGTTAGGTTTATTTTTTTCAATTTTCCTTCTTAATTGGCTTGCTCTTCTCTGTTATGTTGCTTTTGTTATTCTGCTGTTTTATTTGGTAATCGAAATTGTAAGATTTTACAGTAGTAGTAGTATTAGTAGTAGTAGTAGTAGTAGTAGTAGTAGTAGTAGTAGTAGTAGTAGTAGTAGTTGTTGTTGTTGTTATTTTGTTAAGTTAAAAACTTTTTTCACACATGAAATGATTTTCGTTTGCATTCTTTTAATTCAATTAACTCGTCTTTTAACTCAATTTTTAATTATTATTCACCCAATAAGTTAATCAATTCAATATGACGTTTTGCTAGTGGGTTTTGTTCATTAGCAAGCTGATAATCAGTCTCTCCGCTGAATTCTAATTAATGAATATCATCGTTGGCGCTCTGTGATATGAATGAATGCTGATATGTATGTGTGATTGAGAAGGAACGAACATGTACTCTTTTATTTTAAGTATGTGTGTGTGTGGTGTGTGTGTCTGTGTGTGTGTGTGCTTGTGTGTGTTGTGTGTGTTGTGTGTGTTGTGTGTGTTTGATAACAAATTTGGACAACAAATATCACTTTAGCAGTCGCCATAGATAGCTAATGCATCTTAATGTTTGTTTGTATGGTATAAATTGTTGAGTGTACGTTGAAACGTATTGATGAATTAATCTTCAGCGATGTGGCTTTCCATTAAAAGGAGGATTCTTTTTGTTACATTTTTGTTGTTCTTTTGTTGTTGTTATTTCGTTCGTTGTTGTTGTTATTATTTCGCTTGTTGTTGTAGTTATTTCGTTCGTTGTTGTTGTTGTTTTTGTTGTTATTTTGTTCGTTGTTGTTGTTATGTTGTGGCGGTTTTTTTTGTTTGTTGTTGTTGTGGTTTTGTTGTTTGTTCCTTATCTCCCCATAATGCGTGCAATCGATTGTATAAATGTAGTCTGGTGTGGTTGGGCGTGTTAAACGGAAGTATTAAATAGTTTTTTTTTAAGAGATTTCAGCATACTTGGAAGGGTGCAAGTTTGTGTACATGCGTCACATTTTTCATCTGAATGGTGATACTCTGAGGAGGTTGCGATGATGACGACGAGACTGATAAGTTGACGATGGTGATGATGAGGATGATCTGATAACGATGACGACGACGATGATGATGATGATGATGGTGGTGGTGGTAACGATAAATGAAATTGATTGATTGATGAATGTAACTGAAGAAAACTAAATTTGAAGATGATTTTTTAATGAAAATGAGGCCGGTGGTGGAGGAGAAGGATGAAGAGGATGTCAGCGCTGATGAGAACCCCATTGAATTTCATGACTCTGGCATGCACGCAGTCAGACGTTTAATTGAAATACACGCGCGCACTGCATTATCTCAAAACTGTAAACAAATAAATTGAATTCCATGAAAGCTGCTTCAGGCTATTTTTTGTTTTTTTTTCTCCCTTTGTTTCACTCACAAAATGTTTCAACTTTTTTTTCCTCTGATTTGTTCTGGGTTTTTTTGTCCTGTTAATAAGCACTTCTGTATTTCTTATCTCTTTTCAATTTGATTCCTTCGACTAGTTTGTGCACGGTGATTAGTATTTATTTATGGTCGGTTTGTTATATATTTGTTATTCCTTTGTTATATATTTGCTATTTGTTATTTCGACGTTATTTATCGTGCCGTTAGGGTTGTTGGTTGTTATTTTTCTCAATCACCTTTATTTTATACACTCTTCCAAAGTTTTAGAGTCAGTCTAAATGAATGCGTGTCTAGCTACTCAATCCGCGATGTGGTTTTTATTAGTAATGTATATGTGTATATCTATGGCATATGTGGAAACAATGGGAACTATCAGATACACACGATAGTTCATGTCAGAATGATGATAGAATTTAAATGCGTAGGCTGTCAATTCAGTGAATTCAGTGAAGTACGTCAATTGACTAACACAATGAATCGGAAACACTTCTTTTTATATGATATTCCCCTTTGAAAATCTATCTATCACTTGAATAGCTACTTGAGTATTTGGCAATACCTGATGAATCATTCCTACCTAATCATTTTCAGACAACTTCAGATAACCACTTGTTCAGCCAGTCCTTCCTAGAGTTGTATGTGGTCCTCCAATACCAAAACTCAATACAATTGCACAAAACAATATTATTTCTTTATTTATGTCTGATAATGATAATTTCAATTTTAATAATAATAATAATTATTATTATTATTATTATTATTATTATTGTATTATTATCAATAAATCATTCTCAAAAGCATTTGGATGACCATGTAAAGCGATTTTTAAAATTTTTCAAAGCGTTTTGAAAACCATTTAGACGACTACTATTGGTAGCCACAATTATATTTTGACTAACGAACAACGCCACAACAGTCCCTCCTCCAGTTTGACGCAACATCAGCAGCCAAATTCGAAATCTTCCAAGATGATGACGATTCACTCCATGCTTAACAGCAACGACAAAAGTGACATCAACAACAACACAAACCTCAACAACAACAGCCCAGATTCGTACGGCAACAACATGAACAAGAGCTTTCCAGCGTTATTTCGAACTTTCGAGTGCCACAGTCTGCCATCTGTTGGCAAAAAAAAACACCTGACCAAACAGCAACTAAAAATGCACCAACAACAACAATCCGAACAGCAGCAGCAACAACAGCAACAACAGCAGCCACAACCACTTCAAAAGATCATGCTGAGGTTACTACCACTGGGTTTGAACTTGAGATCCCAGAGTTCGTTGAACTTGCATGAGGTGCCCTGTTCGCCTTGCACGTCGTCTGGCAAGAAAAAGTTCCTCGACGACACAAACATCCATAATAAAAACAACAACAATAATAATAACGTTGATATTATCAGTAAACTTGTTGTTAGTACAGCGAATGGTGGTGGTGATATTAATGAGAAGAAGAAATTTTTTATTAGCAGTAATGAGAAGTTAACTGACATCAACAAACTCAACAGCCGTGACATCAACCATGTCGCCATTAAAGGCATTAACTCACGTGTACACACGCTTGACAACAGCAGCAGCAACAGTAAATTTGACCTCGGTATGAGTTTCAGCAAGAGATTCACCATGAATCAAGCCGGCCTGAAAAGTAGTGTTAGCCACGTGAAGAGCCTCAACAACAGCACTAAATATACGCTGCAGGTGAACAACAAGCAAGATGCAAACAACCACTTCGTAAGTGTGGATGATATCGATGTGGAGATCGTCCATGATGACGTCACTCAACAACAACTCAACGACAACAACAACAACAACAGCGTCAACAGCGTCAACAGAAGCAATTTGGTGGTTAAGAGATGCAAACAACAACAGCAACATCGCCCGTCCATGCAACTGCAAAGGCGTATACAATCATCGACGCCAACAACAGCGCACCATCAGGCACAACAACAGCCCACAACACCACAGCCACAACAACAACAACACGATCAACAGCGCGAACAACAACAGCAGCCGCAGCAAGAAACACAAAAGTCATCAAACAGATCTTGGTACGGTTTCTCGAGATACAACAGATCCATCTTGAACTCTATCATGAGGAGGCAGAAGGTGAGGACCATGCACAATGCCACCACCAACACCACCTGGTACTGCGATGGCTTCCTTCAAGATGATGACGTCAGCAATGTCGGTGACGATGACGCAGGTGGAAGGGTAGATATCAAAGATGATGACGTAAGCAACTACATGTCGTCGTCATCGTCAACTCCATCGTCGTCAATGACGTCATCTTCCTTGACGTCATCATCACTGGCTACGACGCCGTCGTTGTCGTCATCTGCCGCAGGTAAGTCCGAACAGATGCTGCACGATCAAAGAAAACAGCAGTCATCGTCATCGGCGTCATCTCTGTCATCATCATCTACAGTCTCAGCAGCATCTCCACAGCCTTCATCGTCTGCACTGAAATTAGCATCATCGCCAGCGACACCAACACCTTCTGTATCGTTACAAGAATTAATCTGCAACAACGTTTTAGCTCTCACAGCTGCATCTATATCAACAGTACCATCAGCTGCATTAGCAACGACCACACCATCAGGGGTTACTTCAACATCTTCGTCACAGTCATCATCATCATCTTCATCATCATCATCTAATGAATCAGGCTATCATTCTACCGGCACACCATCATCATCGTCGTCCTCGTCCTCATCATCATCATCATCGTCGTATGTTACATTAACAAGCCGTGAGTACCATCGTCATCCAGATGAAAATGACGTTCAGATGCTGTCCACCGTTACTAGCCAGCGTCAAGATGACGTCAACATGCCACTGAATCCTCACGTGACACAACTGCAACAACAACAACACTCAACATTACATCCGTCATGGGCGTTATCATCATCGTCATCGCCACAAATATCATCACCAACACCACTTCCATTGTCTGACGTCACTCCACCTGTCTTCACACCTGAGGTGCTTTCGTCGTCATCATCATCATCATCATCGTCACATTTTGTACCGCGACCATCATCAGCATTGTTGTCGTCCAGATATCCTCTGACGTCATCGCTAGCCTCATCATCATCATCTACATTTAGGACATCGTCTAAATTGTTGAGAAGTAAACTCACACCTTCATCATCATCGTCATCAGGTACTGCGGAATGTAAATTAACCGCATATAAACAAGACAATGGGGATAATAATGATAGTGGCAGTGGTGATGATGGTGAAGATGGCGATGACGGTGGTGGTAGTGGGAGTGGTGGTGGCGGCGGTGGTGGTGATTATATTGCTGCAGTTGATCAGAGGCAGCGTATTGACTTTCTTCACTCCTCTTATGCAAATAGCAATACTAAACGTCATCCATCGTCGTCATCGCATTTCCGGTCTACGTCATCAACTCCATCATCATCATCATCAACTCCTTTATCGACTTCATCATCTTCATCATCATCAGTTTTTTTATCATCATCGTCGTCGTCGTCTTCGCACTGTCGAAAGACACCCTCCCCTCGGCCATCATTTTACAAGCTGTCAAGCATAAAAGAACATGTCGGCAACAATCGTAACTTCACTCGCCACCTCGTCTCGACGTCACCTAGCAACGTTCCCAACAGCAGCAGCAGCAACAACAACATCTACAAAAACAACAACAACAACATTAACAACAACGACAATCTTGATACGCTTTCAGTCAGCAAAGATATTTGCAACGGAATCAAGAACATTGAAAACAGCGTTAAAAACAACTGCTTCAACAAAAACACCCACAGCCGCAATACTCTTCACAGCAGCCACAGCAACCACAGCAGCCACAATCACAGCAGCGACACTGGCGCCGTCAGAAGCGAAGCTTTCAGCAACAAAGAGGATAAAAAATATTTGAACAGTCATATCTCAAAAGAGACGTCAATAAATAATGGTGGTGGGGATGACGACGATGATGATGGTGTTGGTGATGATAATAGTCTTATGGTTGGTGGCGATGGTGATGATGATAGCAAGGAATATTATCGTGTAGATGAGGACGATGATAATGATGTCGATAGCGATGATGATGATGATAGTGTTTGTTGTGTTGCTTGCAGAAATGATGATGCTGATGGTAAGAACAACTTCGATACTCAAAACGGTGACAAGAATGATAATAATAATAATAATAATAAAGTTAAGGCTGATGACGACGATGACGATGATGATGATGATGACGGTAACGATGATGATAGTGATGATAATAATAATGATAACTCTGTTTTCGCACTCTACAACAACAACATCAACACCAGCGAGAACAACGACAAAAGTTGCAGCAACAACGACAACAATGACATCAACAACTCCACACTCGCCAGCAACTTTTTCAAATCATCCCCGCTTGACCTTGAGACGCAATCTCCTGGAAACATCATAAAAGATAAAAATGACGTCACTGATGATGAGGAGGAAGAAGAAGAAGAAGATGACGATGAAGAAGACGACGATGATGATGGGGTAGAAAAATTCTATTTGGATATAAATTTGGAAGAAATGAGTGGAAGACATGTTTAAATACATGTGTGATGTTGTTGCTGACGACGATGATGATGATGGTGATGATGAGGGCAAATGAAATGGTAAATGAAGTGGCAAATGATATGGTTAAAATAATAAATTGTAATAGTGCATTCATTCATCATTGCTAATTCATTAATTCATTCATTTATTTATCGCTATTTATAGTTTTTTCTTTCAATCACTCCATCATTTGTCCAGTTATTCGTTCGTTTATTCATTCCACCAGTTTTCATTCTCTAGATCTTTCACTTATTTGCTCACTCACTCGTTCATTTTATTCATCCATTCTATCTTACGTTGAGATTTGATGGTTACCAAATTTTATTTCTTTTTCTCTTCACATTCCTTCATTCTTTCACCTCGTTCATCCATCTGTTCATTCATTCATTCCTTCATTCATTCATTTATTCATTCATTTATTCATTTTCATTTATCCACCGATATACATTATTTCTTCATTTGTCAATTTATCTATTGCTGTATTCCATATTTTCCCGTTGTTTTAATATTTCCTTTACCATTTCTATATATGTGTGTGTGTATGCGTGTTTGTATGTGTGCGTGTGTGTGTGCGTGTGTGTATGTGTAACAACATATATATAATAATAATGTGTTACATACTTTCATATTTTCTATCTATAATAATAATAATAATGAATAATTATGCGAGAGTTATGTTGCAAGGTTAATGATTTTTACATACTGGTATCTTTTTGTAGTTAGATGTATTTGTCTGTATGTTTTTGTCTGTTTGTTTGTTGTGTATGTATATGTGTTTGAGTATGTGTATATATGTATGTATTTTTGTGTATGTGTATATATGTATGTCTGTTTGTGTATTTGCATATATGTACGTGCAGTTTTTATTTATTTCGGGATAAATCAGTAGGCGAAAATGACATAGAAATTAAGTGAATGAATGAATGAATGAATGAATGAATGAATGAATGAATGAATGAATGAATGAATGAATGAATGAGTGTTTACTTTGTAATTTCGGTTCCGTCTGGCAATTGTCTGTCATTCGTCGTGATTGCGTGCTCTTCTTTGTTTGCGCGTCTGCTCCTTCGTCTGCTTGTTTGTGTCTTTGTTTGTTTGTTCGTTTGTCTCTTTGTGTGTTCATCTGTTTGTATGTTTGTTTGTTTGTATTGTATTGTGTCGATTCCCATGAGTTACTTAACACTGGCACGCAACTTGCTATTGCAAATCTTTAATTCATTTAAATGTTTAATGCTTCACACGTACACCACTTGACAAATTGTGATGAAATTATTTTCTGAATTTTACAAATGTGTATGTAGGTGTGTTTGTGTATGTGCGTGCGTGTTTGTGTGCGTGCGCGCGCGTGTGTGTGTATGCGATGTTTAGTAGCGAACTTGATGTCACGTCATGCGATGTAATGTTATTTGATGGCTATATGATGTAAGTAATGCGAAGATGTTAGACCTAATGATGGTGACAACGATGGACAACGATGTGATGATGTTTTCCAATCACAATGATGACGACGATGATGCTGGTTTGATGAATTCACTCCTACTCTACCTAACTTGCTGCGGTGATGTGGAATGGCATGAGTTCACTTGAATTCAGATTGGTTAATTTGATGAACAGAGAAACATTTTGAAAAAAAAACTTTGATGTCTGTCTGTTTGATCCCTCTGGTTAAAGAGTTCTTATTACTTTTTTGACAACAGGACAAAAAAAACGCAAGGAGTTTGTTCAGAGGGTATTTTGTCTGCATTGTTTTCGTCCATGGAGTCTTAGAATATTTTTTACGTACAAAGTAAAAATCGTCCGGATTACTCAACTATCCGGATTAGTCCAGTCTGGATCTGGATGCAAGGGTTTTGACTGTGCGTGACGTTCTTGAATACTCCTTGTATTGTGTTGGATTGAATTATTCACTTGTCTATTCATTTTTTTTTTCGAATTTTTGATAAATTTGAATGTTTTCAACAATGTCTTCGTATCTACTAATATTGTTATATAAGTATTTATCTGTTGTGTTTGCTGGTCGTATTAGACGTGATTGGAATATCATGTGATAAGGTATCATTGTTGTTATTAAATTTGGATATGATATTATGTAATGTGATGTTAAGTTAGTTTTAATGTCAACAGTGTGATTGTGATATCATCATGTAATGTGATGTTACGGTATCAATCATTAATGTCATCAGATGAGATTAGGATATCATGTAACGCCAGCAAGTATGGTTATGATATGCTCTATCTGATGCTAAGGTATCATTGATGTCGTCAGAAGAGATGTGATACACTATCATGTTTCACAGTTTGATAGCTAACTTTATTTTTATATTTATTTTATTTTATGCATTTATAGGTGAACGTGAGTGATATAAAACCGTGTGTAATATCTATTTTTAGTAGTTTTATTTATTATTAATTAATTAATTAGTTAATTAATTAATTTATTTATTATATTTTTTTTCTTATTATCATTTTAACTTGTTTCTATCGCGACTTATAAAAAAAGTGAAGTGAAATGTAATAATTTATGATTTTGATATTTCAACTTTAGTTCCTTACGAGATGTTGTCTCTTTGTGTTGTGTGTTTGACTGTGTGTGTCTGTGTGTGTGGGTGTGTGTGTCTGTGTGTGTCTGTGTGTGCGTGCGTGTTCTTCGGCCTGACTGACGCAAAAACAACACCACCGTGATTTCCCACTGGTCTCTTCCGTTTTCTTCATCACGAATTTATTACCGAAGTTTATTACGAAATCGAATTACAACTCTTTATTTGTATTTATGTTTCATTTTATTTTATTAAATTTATAAATAATAATGATAATAGATTGGTATTAATTTATGACATTTTATTAGTCTCGCATATGATTGGCTCGTCAATCCGTCCTGCACACTTCCTGTTTTAATCTTTTTTCATTTTATTTACACACTATTAAAAATATAAATAATAATAATATTGTTATTAACATTGTTATTATTATTATTATTATTACGCCGTCGTTATCATCTTCATCGTCTTCCTTTCAGAATGCAACCGCATGTCATCCTTTTAACTATAATACACCATCCGTATTAATTCTACATCACTATTATCATTATTACTTTAGTCAGTGATTCAGCCATCATCATTTGATCATTATCGTCGTCGTCGTCTTCGTCACCATCATCATCGTCGTCTTCGTCAGCTTTGTTAGCGCAAGTAGTGATATTGACGAGTGTCTCTGCAAAGTTTCTTTTTATACACACTCACACACACAATCTCACATACTCATACTCACACACACACACACACACACACACACACACACACACACACACACACACACACACACACACAAGATCACTCACACACACACATACATTCTAGCATTTTGGTTTTATTACTTTTGAATATGTATAGATTTTCTTTTTTCTCATCTTTCGAAATTGTAAATAGGTGCTTTTATTTTACCATGTAATTACATACCTGTTTGTTTGTTTGTTTGTCTGTTTGTTTGTTTGTTACTTTCTTCTTTGCTATTACAAATTTGTAACTTCGCTTTCGGTTAGTACGCGATGTTCGTTCGTTCGTTTATTTTTTCGTTCTCCCTTAAATGGTTCGTTCATTATTCCTTCTGTTCATTCTGCCTGTTTATCTTTTCTCGTTATTTGTTTGTTTGTTTGTTTGCTTGTTCACTTGTTTTTCAATATCGTTTTGATTTTATTCCTACGATGTGTTATTATACGCCATGATAAGATTGAATGATGATCGAATGATATTATTTCGAAACGGTACGATACGAGGCGTTTTTATTTTTTCATATTCTTAACTGTATCCTTCTTCTTGATTCAACAACAAATATGCCCTATTTAATGATTATAATATAATAATCAATTAATTATTTATTTATTCAATTATTTATTTATTTCAATTGATGATTGATTGATTAATTAGTTAATTGGTTTTCGCTGTGAAACTTTTGTCCTTACTTCGATTCAAACATTCATTCATGTATTTCATTCATTAACGTGCATCTCTATCCTTTTTATCATTCATTCCTTCATTCATACATTCGTTTGTTTATTCATTCATTCATTTATTCATTCGTTCGTTCATTAATTCGTCTGAGGTGTGCAATACTAACAATAACTTTTGTATTTTTTACCCATAAACTTCGTCACTGTACATTTATTATTATTATTATTATCCTTATTATTATTGTTGTTGTTATTATTATTATTATAAGATATTCATTGTGATGACAAATGTCCTAGCAACCGAGTTTTCAAGTCTTTTCTCATTACCTTAAACCAATATTTCCGCAATAATAATAATAATATTAATTTTTTTTTACTTTTTTAATCATTTGTTGTTATTATTATTATTATTATTGAATTTTTGACACGCCACTTAATTACGCTGTTCATTATAGTTGTTCATCATTCAGCTGTATTTTCCTTATTTTTTCAGTTTCTTCACGATTGATTAATTAATTGATTAATTAATTAATTAGATAGTATGTAATGTACTAATACAATTGTGGTTCTTCGTACCATATAAAGTAATGATATATATATATATATATATATATATATATATATATATATATATATATATATATATAATTGATGAAAATCACAGCATTTTCCGCGTTAGTTAGCTTCCCATTTAATTTTTCAATTTTCTAACGGTAGATCGTAAATCATTGTCAAGTTTCTTGAGTTCAAAACCAAAATTTTTACCTAAGTTTCTTATTTAGACGTTGAACCTGTCTATTTTTTTTATTGTTTGGACATTTGAAAGTGTAATTATTAATCCACTGGATCATTCATCTTTATTTTCCTTCCCAGATTTAGTTGGTTAATATTAGGAGAATTGAAATGGATCACTTGCTTCATACGTGCAAGAATCAATCAATCAATCAATCAATCAATCAATCAAATTGATTGATTGAATAGTTATATTATTATAAGTATAATTACCTGGCCATTCAATCAACCAAGCATCCACGTTTTAATTTGGACGCTAATCGAACGAACGTTATGATTTTTATGATTTTATTCCCTTTATAAAGTGAATTTATTATTTTTTTGTGTTTAATGTTTAATTGCGCACTAATTAGCCAATAACTTTGAATGAATAAAGTGATTTCTTTGAAATTTTGTATTTTTCATTTCATTTTTATAATATATTTTCTCATTCCGTTTTGAATTGCATGCGGTTGAAGCCGGTTAACTAGACCAAGTCGGGACCTGCATATATCTTAGTTGTATAAATGTGGGGGCTTAAGCTAAAGTGTTTCGATTTAGCGGATTCTTGAGATCCTGTCGGAATCGGAAATTTTTACCCGGAATGGAAATTTTTTGAGGGGTCGGATTCGGATATTTTTCATTCGACTCCGACACACTTGAAGTGAGAAGGAGAAGGCGATCGTAAACCGGGGCCTTTAGGTTTAATGATTATTATTATGTTAATATGTATCTGATGAGTGTTTAGAAAATAATTTAGATTGAAACTTGTGCATTAATGTGCATATTTTACTCAGACGTTGACGATTTATCAATTAAAAGATATTTGAAATATAAACTACGAGTGAAATGAAGATTTGGTAAGTCACTGAAGATGCTTTAGGCGTTATTATCTTGGGATATATAACACAAATTTTAAAAAATTGAGAAAAAGGACTAAACGAGAAAACAAACTGTCGAGGACAGAATTAAGATAGAAATATAGGCAGCAGTTGTATTTGTATTTAAAAAACATATGTGTATGTACCATTGAAGTACAAGTTATACTGGTGTGTACTTATAACCCAATGATATGTTCTTGTAAGTCCTCAACGATCCTATTCTCTTGCGAACATGTTCAGCACTGATTGCTTTAGTGCTCGAACCCTGTACCTGCGCTTTCTAAGAACATTGTATTGATTTAATAATAACGAGAATAACAATGTATAATAGTATATTCTATGTGTGTGACATAAATGAAGTTTAAAAATTATATCTAACGCCCATCACTGTGTTTTTTATTTAAAAGTGAGCTTGTCAGTCAATGTCTTTGGCGACGTTTATACTTTCAGTTGGTCACGGTCTCTGCTTGTTTTTTGTAAAATTTTCCAAAACGAGTTGACGAGTGAAAGTCTGCTTATGAAATTTGACTTTTGTAATCTTTTTTAACAGTTTCCCATTCTTTAAACGAAATGTCACCTTGAAATTAATGCAATGTTGAAAGTTGCAAGCAAACTGTCGGTTGTCAGTTGCAGTCGGTCGTCAAATTCGGCGTCGGTATTGATTGTTGATTCGGCGGGTCCTTGCAACAAAGCGCTGTCAGACGTTATTGAGGTTCTCCAGGGAAGGTGGTTGTCAAGTTCGTCTGGCGGCCCAACGCAATTGAAAGACAAGACAAACATCAACAATCATCGTCAACAACAGGCTCATGAAACTCGTCCCCCAGACCGATCAATCACTTACTACTATCTGCAGGCTGACATCGATAGCGCCGCTGAAAAAGTTGTTTGGCTTTTTTTTCAATTTATTCATTTTTTATATTTGATTCATTTTGAGCCACACCTGAAATAAAGAAAATGATGGTTCATAATAAATAAATATTTATATTATTCATAAATATTCATAATAAATATACTAAAAAAATGAATAATATGATTTATTTCATTTCACATTAATTTATTCCTCTTTATTGAATTAATTAAATGAATCATTGCCTGTTGCTTGATGTAAGGTTCCTTAAACAAGTGAAAGCATTGTGCACAAGTTTGTAATTTGTGTAGAGAAGTCTCAAAGACTTTATCTGATGAATTGAGCTGTGATTAATTAATTTAATCAAAAGTCGGTGTTAGTGAAATCATTCAATCAAGATTAGCTTAATAAAAGTTTTAATTGATAGTGTATTAATTATTATTATTAATTAATTAATTAGATTTTCACTAAAAAAATTTTCAGCCCCAAAAGCCGATATCACTCTTCAAACTTTTGAAATCTTCATTCAACAAGGACCATCTCATTGTTAGATTTATTTGTAGTTTTTTGATTCGTCATTGTGATGATCAATATAAAAATATTTATCATTTTCTTATGGATTTTATTAATTTTTCATGATCATTTTAATTTTTGCCAACAAATCTTCATTGCAATGTGGAAAGGTTTTTAAATCTTGCTTTGTGGATGTGGAAAGTTTAATTTAACTTATGCGATATTAATTTTTTTGCACTTTCTACACATTCTGTCCAATCAAATGTTACTAGCTCTCCCCTTCAACCAATCGAACGTTACTAACTTCCTCTCCAACCAACCAATCACACAGAAGAATGCACGTTTCCTTCAACAAGAACTACCAATCAGAGTGGCCAAAAGAGTTGTTGCCTTTCATATGCTGCCTTTCATTGTTGCATCTAATCCCTCCTTGCTGAGATGTGTGAGTCGATTGGCTAATTGATTGATTGATTGATTGATTGATTGATTGATTGATTGATTGATTGATTGATTGATTGATTGATTGATTGATTGATTGATTGATTGATTGATTGATTGATTGATTGATTGATTGATTGATTGATTGATTGATTGATTGATTGATTGATTGATTGATTGATTGATTGATTGATTGATTGATTGATTGATTGATTGATTGATTGATTGATTGATTGATTGATTGATTGATTGATTGATTGATTGATCGTTTGGTTGTAGATTTATTAATTGATTGATTGATGATTAGTTTGCCAACTGTCAGCTGATTGGTTTACATGTTCACAATCATATAATGATTACTCAACTGTTTTAAATGAATTTTACATTTATTAATCAATTAATTTTTTAGTTCATTCATTCCTTCATTAATTCATTCATTTCTTTCAATCACTCATTCACTCCTAACCTTTTACCCAATAGCAAGAACTCTACACTTCGTCGTTTCAACTCTTGAAAAGTTGTGAACCAGTGAGTTCATCATTCTCATCAGTTTTGTAATAATTACATCATCATTACATTCAAACTGTTCTCATGCATAATCGCACACATAAAGATATAAAGATACAAAATTAGATACAAAGGAAGATACAGTTAGATATAAAGATACAAATGAAGATACAGTTAGATATAAAGATACAAAATTAGATACAAACGAAGATACAGTTAGATATAAAGATACAAAATAAGATACAGGTGACGCTGAGATTGAAGTATTTTATCTTTCTTTACAATGGAAAGGTAACGAACACATCAACAGAGGAGCAGTTCAGTGAGACGATCCAAGAGATGTTGGACTACCATAAGGAAGTCGTGTCGCTTCTGTCGCAAGGTTTCAAAGAGGCTGGAAAGTATATTGAGGTTGTTGTTGTTGTTGTTGCTGTTGTTGCTGCTGCTGCTGCTGCTGTTGTTGTTGTTGTTGTTGCTGCTGTTGATGTTGTTGCTGTTGTTAATTTTGCTTTTGTTGTCGTCGTCATTGTCGTCGTTGTCGTTTGTGTAGTTGTAGATCAAGAAGATTCTCATCATCATCTACGTCATCACCAACGTCATCACCAGCAACTTCATTATCATGAACAGGACAAAAAGCTCATCGCGACTTTCCTGGACGACATGATGAAGTCAAGACTTGGCATGAGATTGCTGTGCGACCACCACCTACAAATACCGATTGAAAGGGTCAGTCTCTTGTGGTGGTGGTGGTATTGGTGGTGGGTGGGGCTGGATTCGTGTTTGTGGTTCGTGTACTGCATTACAGTGGTTTGGTTTGAATTTGTACACAAAACAACGACAGCGTCACAACAACAACAACAACAACAACAACATTATACCAACAATAACAACAACATTATACCAACAACAACAAAATTACACTAGCAACAACAACATTACGCCAACAACAACAACACAACACAACAACACAGCCAGGTTATGTCGGTAGCATTGAGATGAAGTTCTGTGTGAGAGCCCTTGTGGAACGTAAGGCCAGGGAGACTAAGTGAGTCATGCTGTTGATGTGATGATGTTGTTGATGTGATGATGTTGATGTGATGATGTTGTTGATGTGATGATGTTGTTGATGGGATGACGTCGTTGATGGGAAGATGCTCTTAATGTGATGATGTTGTTGATGTGATGTTGTTGTTGATGTAATAATGTTGTTAATGTGATGATAAGAATAAATTATGGATGTATAATGGTAATGAGCTATTACACAGTCATCCTCGTGCATCAATTTAATTTCACCCAATCCAGCCAACCAAACCAACCAACCCCCATTAACTGTGACCTACTCTTTTTATTTCCACCAATCACAATTCACCCAGACTACAGTGCGAACGCAAATATGGGTCGTCACCGGATGTCGAGGTCAAGGGTCACATGGACGCCACCTTCATGTACATCAGTCCGCCACTCGACTACGTACTTAATGAGTTGCTGAAGAATGCAATGAGGTTGGTCTGCAGTGTTTCTAGTCGGGTTTTGAACTATGGGTGGATAAAATATCACTAACAACGAATGATCCAATGAATGAGTGAATTAATGGATATATCGGTGGGTAGATGAGGGAACTGATGGACGAATTGATGAATAAATTACGGGTGAATTGATTGATGAATGAATAAATTGATAGAATGATGGATGAACGGTTTTGCGACGGATAGTTCTTAAGTGGGTTTTTGGATTTAGAGCAAGTGGCTTAGTGAAGAAATGAATGAAAGAATGAATGAATGTACGAACGAACAAATGAATGAATGAACGAACGTAAAAAATGATGAGTGAAATCAATCGAACAGAGCGGTGATGGAGTCGAAGAGCAGATCTTCCATTAAGAGCCTACCCCCTGTCATCGTCACCATTGTCAACAACGACACTGACTTTTGCATCAGGTAGTGGCGGCTTCCTACGCGTTCTGCGAACGTTGTTCTTGCTTTTTTAGCCTCCATAACTGTTATCTTACCTATTAAGTATTTAGTTATAATCTTACCTTGTTAGAATTTTCAAATGACATCTATATTCGGTTTCCTCCATTTTTTTTTATTAGTCTTTATTATTGCAGCTCTGACATACGCATAACCACTTACAATGTTACAGATATATTATGTTATCTATATATCTTTTATTATGTTCTTCTTTTCTTCATCTATTGATTTGAAGCAGCCATCTTCGCCACAAAGGCTGTTTATCCTTTTCACACGACGTACACATGTATTTATGTGCACGCGCAAGCACCGCATCATATACGCTGAGTATAACGCTGAGACACGCTAACCACTCGGCCATGAGACCCCTTAAATTGTAGAGGTACTTGTGTCTGATGAGTCGATTGTGAATTTTTGCAGGTCAAATGAAATATTTTTAATTTATATTTTTATTCTAATCAGCTTCCTTTTTAAATATTCATCTATTCCCATTTTATTCTCTCCTCGTTAGCATTCATCTCTGCTCATTAATATTCATCTCTTCTCATTAATATTCATTTTTCTCGTTATATTCCCTCTTCATTAACATTCATTTTTCCTCATTAATATTCATTTTTTCGTCATATTCCCTCCTCATTAACATTCATCTCTCCTCATTAATGTTCATTTTTTTCATGATATTTCCTCCTCATTAATATTCATGTTTTCATTAACTTTCCCTCTTCGTTAGAATTTATCTTCTCTTCTCGTTAATATTCAATTAATCATTAAGGATAAGCGACAGAGGCGACGGCATCCGACACGACATCGTCGATCGGATCTGGCAGTACGGCTTCACCAGCGTCAACCACCAGCTTCACGAGCGACACGATGGAGGCGCCTTTGACATCATGAGCGAGAACAGGACTGCTGGCATCATGTTTGGGTGAGTAAATTGATGAATACATGCATGCATGCATGGGTAGGTAGATGTGAATAGGTGAGTGGATAGATGGATGGATGGATGAATGAATGGGTGGATGGATGGATAAATGGATGAGTAAGTGATTTTTAGAATGAGCAAAGAAACGAGTTAATAGATATTTGGCAGGATGAATAATAAGACAATGGAATGGTTAATGAATCGATGAATGAATAGATGGATAGATGATTAGATGGATGAATGAATAGATGGATAGATGAATGGATGATTGGATGGATGACGGTCATCATATGTAACAACAACAACCACACTGTAACAACAACAACCCATCATACATAGTTATGGTTTCGGTCTGCCAGTTTGCAGAGCCTTCATTGAACATTTGGGTGGTTCTCTCAAGCTCATCACCATGCAGGGAATCGGTGGGTGGTGGTGGTAGTGATAGTGGTAGTTGTTGGTGGTGGTGGCGGGCGTGGTGGTTTTAGTTGGTGGTGGATTGAATAGGCGCATGGATGGATTGATTGGTGAAAATTAATAAATCTTCTTCTATCTGTCCATCTATCCATCCATTCATTCATTCGTTCGTTCATTAATTAATTAATTCATTCATTCATTAATCTTTTTAGCCACAAATTCATTCACACATTCTACAATCTACCTTTTCATCATTCACCTATCAATTCATCAATTTATTCATTCATCTATTCATTTGTCATCCAGCAATGCATCCTTCCGGCAATTCATTTATTCATCAATTCATTCATTCATCCAGCGATTCATTCATTCATCGATTTATTCATTCAATTACTCGTCCATCCATCAATTCATCCATCCAGGGACAGAGGCTTACATACGTCTGCCTCACATAGAAGGCAAGGAGGGAAACTTTCTCATATAATTAGACCAACATCGTCGTCATCTTCATTGTCGTCATCATTTTCATTATCTTCATCATCATCGTCGTCGTCGTCATCATCTTCATTATTGTCATCCTCATCTTCATCGTCATCATCATCTTCATTATTGTCATCCTCATCTTCATCGTCGTCATCATCTTCATTATTGTCATCATCGCCATCGTCGCATTAATAACGTGTAGCCACCACATCATCATCACATTATTGCGTCTGCCGATCGCTTTGTGTGGTTCGGTCGTCCAGACGTCGCTGCACACACGCTGCTGAATTGTTCGCTGGCACTGATGGTGAAGAGGAACATTTGTGGCGGTTAACAGCTTCAAGTGGATGGTGCTTGCTTGCTCGTTATTGATGGGGCGTTTGTGGGAATGGGAAAATTAGTGTGTACGTGTATGTATGTGTGTGTGTGTATATATATATGTGTACATATGCATACATATACATATACAGTATGTTTATTCATTCATTTATGTCTGATACTAACCAGTTTGTATGTTCATTATCGAATTCATGCTAATTAACCAACGTCTCGATCAGCTATCTGCCTGTCAGTATTACCCACCACCTTCGGCTTATTGTCGAAGCTTTGCGCGTCATCACTTGTGAGTTGCGAGTGAGTGAGAGAGTGAGTGACTTGTGAGTGACCGCTCGCTACAATCATCCAACTAACGTATTTTGCTTCCGTTCAAATTACATAACGCATATGTTGTTGGTTTGCATGTGATGGATGGTTGGTAGGAGTTTGTTTCCATATGTTCCAACTGCCTGTCTGACTGCCCGCGTTGGCAGTGAGGAGATGGTATGTTGGCGCTGCGAAGTAGGTGGCTTGCTTGGTCGCCTTGTCGTTGGTTGAGGCCACGCCGAAAGAAGATTGCGTGCTAAAATTTCATAGACTTATTACTTCATTCGTTCGTCGTGCGTGCGATGCCTTTCAACCGCTACCCGCGTCCTTTTCGGCTCGTCCACTAATTTATTTGTTTGTTCGTTGTAAATTGTTTCATTTATTTCATCCTTGGTTATGCGTTAATTGAAAACTTTATTCGTATTTACAATTTTAATTTGCTTAAATGAATTTTGACATTTACATTATTTAATTAATTATACACTTAACCTAATTGCAATCATGATTGAGATCTTACGATTTTCTTTATTTTAATGAATCATTGACATATCTCCTGTTCATGTTACGTAATAACAACGCATAATATTCATCTTTCGTGTTTTTCTTCATTGTGCTAAGCACGCCAGCATGTCTGTTCGTGGTTCAATCTCTTTCAGTTCGTCAGAATACAATCAATCAATCAACCAATTAGTTTCTGAAGTGCCATTTCCGCGATGTTCAACAGCGCTCCTCAATGAATTTTTTAAACGTATGGTTTTTGAGATCCGCTCTGTGAAGTTCGCAAGTGGTGACGGAGGAGTTGAGACTTGCAGAGAAAAGAGCCAGAAAAGCAAACGCAGATTCAGCACAAGTGTTTAACAAGAACTTGAACAAAACCAGCAAACACATCTACTAGTACGCAAACACAAAAGTCGGTGAATTAATTAATTTACCAAAAAATTAAATCTTGCGTCTCTACAAGATTGTCAACAAGTCATTAGAAATGATTATGTCTTAAATTATAAGTATATGCAGCACGATGTCGTTCTTCTTAAATGTGAGTTTCAGAGCTTACTGTGTGAAACAATATCCCCAATCACAGCTGTCCGAAAAGTAAAGAAGTTTGCCGTTAGTCGTTGAGACATATTTTATGTAAAACACAAATGACTACGAAATAAAATTTGAAAATGTTAAAAAATATAAATTCAATATATGTACATTTCAACATTATATTATTATCGAGTACAACCTACTTGCCATCAGTAGGAAGACAGATATGTTCATTCAGATGTATGTATCACATCAAAGTATTATAATTGACGATTTATATTGTATCAGATAAAAATATCATCTTATAAATATATATATATATATCATGCACAAACATAAATATAACATGACCAGTTTAAACAATTCATTATTAGCTGATGACTTTAACATTATCCCCAACAAGTTCTACAGATGTCTCATTCATCTATTTATTTATTTAAAAGTAAATCAACTTTAAAAACCAGTAGATATAACAACGTAAGCAACAAACAATGGCATGCACATGCACGCATTTGCATACACACTTGTAAATGAATGAAATAGTCAATAAAACAAAATGTAAAATGATAAAAACTTTCATTCAAAAATTATTAAGTTAGAGTACAAAAAGTACAACACCAACCGAGTAACCAATTCAACACACAAAATAACAAGTATTGGATGAAGTAGCATGTTATTTGTCTTTGACAGTCATCAGCTCAAGTTGTTGCGTTACATTTGCGGATGAATCAGAAGGAGTCTTGCTGCCTGCATCTGTTTCTATGGTATCCACTATTTCTTTTGTATCATCTTGTTGGTTTGTATCACCTGACTGCGTTGTATCAACTGGTTGTTTTGTATCATGCGATTCTTCCTTCGCATCTGCCTCGTGAAGACAATCATTCGTAACATCTCCATTAATGCCCGTTTCGCCCACTTTGGAATCCTATATAAAATATTTTAATACATAAGGATATTCATAGTTTCAAGCACAGTCACCTAAATAAGAGTATAATACTAACTCTTATGGAAAAAAAATGATTCATTAGCCCATTCAAAACGTCAGCAGCTAATAAACAATAATGAAACATTCCACAATCATTACTCAAATTTCGGCTTAAGAGTATAATTTATTTTTCACAATTCATGAACTTTTTAAAAATAATCATCTATAAAAAGAATTCTCTAACAATCATGATATGAGATACACGGCACAAGGCATGTATATGTATGTACCTGAAGTTCATTTATTATAAGAACCTAAATTGGCTTCACATGGAATTGTAAGTAGAGATCAAAAATCTTAATAATATATATATATAAATATATTTATATTTTAAAAAAATAAATAAATAATGATTTTATAATGTAATGATCACTATATGTTCTTTGATTTTCATCAAACAAAATCCGTTTTGTCTCAGAATAATTAATGACACATAAAATAATTAATTAATTAATTAATAACATAATTAATGACTTAATCATAAAATTACAAAACCTGATTTTGAACATCACTGACCTCATTGTCCTCTTGTTCACTGGTTGCTGATGTGTTGTTGTTGTTCTCACCGATCGACTTGTTGCTCACTGCCGACTTGCTGGCCTCTACTCTGGACACGGACAACGACCTGGCTTCATCAAAGGCATCCTTGAACTTCTGGGCATCTGAATTATGAATTATGTCATTCCAAGGGTTACAGAGATTTACAATTCATAGCAACATTACAACTTGCAACTCATAACAAATAACAACTCTAAACACTAAAACAGAAATAGAAGCAAGAAGTGAAAATTACAAACTTTCAGAAGAAGCAAATCTGATGGCCAACAATTCAGACTTTGGCTGCTCGTCTGCAAAATCTGCAAGTGTGCTCCAGCACCAGGCGCGATCACTCCCACAATTTGGCTTCAACTCCAGGTCAGGTGTTACTGCATAAGTTATAACATTCATTTAATATTGTCAAAATGCCAGGTTAATTAATGAAAAGCAATTTTACATTTGTTGATGGATTTAAATACAAGAAAAGTAATAAACATTTTCATTTCAAACAGTTCTCTTTTGCTATAAATTATATAACATTTACTGAATTTTACAGATTGTCAAAATAATTACACCAAATAAAATAAAAAAAAACATAAAAAACAAAAATTACAACAAAAAAGTGTAAGAATAATAATTGACAGACTATAATGATTGGCACAAATCTTGAACGTCTTGTCCCTCCTCATTAGAATCCTGCAGGTGCCATCGACCTTGTGCTTCAGGATCTTAACTTCCCCAGTGCCACGCTCTTTCCACTCCTTCGGCTCGCTTTCACGATCGTATCTGAAGAGTTTCGCTCGTCTGTGCAAGTTCATTAATGAGTTAAATAATTAAGCATTAAGTGCACGCAATTAAATATCCATGTTAACTTTCTATTAGATTAATATATTTATTAATGATTCTGAACTTAGCCACCAGCCACAATGACCGACCTATATATTATGTGCGCGGAGAGATCGTGAAAAAAGAGAGGACCATCTGCTGAATGCACAGCAGATGTTCATATATGTTACCAATAATTGTATAGATATATAAATCCTTAACTGATCATTGAAATGTATGAAAAGTATGTATTCTATATATTTAAGTAACGCATGTATGAACAACGATTGTATGATGTATTAAACAAAATACAAAAATTGACAGTAAGTTGAACATAAAAATCGATTAAAAATATTATTAATTGCGGCCTCAAAAAAAGATTTCTACCACTGATGTAGAATTAAATTACCTTTCTAACAATATATCAGCCACTGAAAAAAACAGCCTTCCAGGGTGTTCAAAACACGAAAAAAAAAACACACTTCATTGTGCATCAAATCACAAAAATAAACACACTTCATTGCGCATCAAATCACGAAAAAATTTTTTTCACCATTCATAATTGCGGCCTCAAAAAATTCCTAACCATTTAGAAACTTCCCATTTCATTGAAATAATTTTGAGGTGGTGGAGAATTGTTAATGTAAAAACTCCAAATGCAGGAATTATAAAGCGAGATGATTATAGAAATCCTATCAATTCTTCTATAGATGATAGTGGCATAAATTACCTGACAAAATTTTTATTTTGGTTGGACAGTTGGAAACAGATGAAAACTACCTCTGGCTGTTTAACGAGAGAAACCTTTTTTGCCTTACGTCACACCACTACTGCTCTAATAGAGGCATGTAAATACTGTTGTACCGAATTTAATTTAAAATATGTTTTGTTGGGGAAATTCCAAACGGATGCTTTAGAGTCTAGGTTTGGTCTATACAGACAATTGTCTGGAACTAATTATAATGTATCACTTAGACAAATCTTTGAGTCAGAAAAAAAATTAAGAATCTCCAGTGTTTTGAAAAATAAATTAATTGGCTGTCTAAAGACTATTAAAGATGAATTCAGTGAAGATGTCAATGATAATTTCCTGGATCCATCAAAATATGAAAATTTACAGCTTGATGAAAATGATTTTGACTTGGAAGATGAAAAACCAATTATTGTATACGCTGCTGGATATTGTCTACATATAGCTCTGAAAAAGCTTAATTGGTGTCCATTATGTAAAGACTTGATGTCATTGGATAGATCAATGGAAGATGTGGATCCTTCATTTTCTGTCATTGCTAATGTGGACAGGGGTGGTTTGAAATATCCATCTAAAGCTATTATTGATTTAGTAACCTATAATTATTGTGTAGTAAAGAAATTAACAAGTGGATACTTTTGGAATATATTTAAAGAGGAACAAAGACAGAGAATGATGGCTATCAAAATAACAAATTCAATTTTAGATGATCATGAATTTAGTTATTGGCCAGACTGTGATAATGGTCATGCTGCAATTGATATATGTAATAGAATTTTGTATAGTGCTACTAATTGTTTGTTAAATAATTTTTGTAAAATGAAAAATGATACAAACACTAAACATAAAAATGTCAGAAAAATGTTAACATTTCATGATTAGATGTTTAATAAAATTTTTAAACACTTTACAAGGCTTGTTTATTTACGTTACTACATATATGTAAACAAAATGCATTCGCCTCCTAAATGAAATTTGCATAATGAGCACTCAGGCTTGTACTTACGTTAGGCTATGGTTTAACACAAGTTAAGAAAAAGCGAGAAGACGATCGTAAACCGGGGCGTTTAGGTTCAATTAATATATCTGATAAATACTTAGGAAATAATTTAGATTGAGACTTATACAATTATTCTATATTTTATAGGTAGCCAGTGCAAGAGAACAAGATATGGAGATATATGAGAAAAGAAAGGGGCACGAGCAACTAGACGAGCAGCAGAGTTAAAAGCTTTACTTAAAGGATAGAGTATAGAGTCAGGTAGGCCATAGTAGAGCGAGTTACAATAATCAATCCTAGATAAGACTAACGAAGTAACAAGAAGGAGAAGAGTAGGATCATCAAGAAAAGGCAAAAGTTTTTTTTTTAATCGTTATTGATTTAAAAAAATGCATTGTGTGTTCATTGTGTATGTTTTTCTACAAATACAGCAGAAAAATAATAATTATTATCTAATATTTACACCACACAAAATTTAATTTACTAATAAATAATAGAAATTAATAGGATTATCAAATACACACAACTACAGTATTATATATTTTTATAGCATCGATATATAACTATATAATTATATATACATGTATATATGCATACCTGTTAGCTGCCACTTAACAGCATATAACATGATATAGCATATAAGCTTATAATAACATGCATACATGTCAGCTGCTATTTAAACAGCATATATCATATAACATAATATAACATATATCGCATATGCATGCAGGCTTGCTGTACCCTCCCTCTTTTACGTTTATCTCTTTTTTAACCTGTGTATAATTGGCTTTTTAATGTGGGTATAATTGGCATCGAAGATTGCTTATAAAATTATATAGGTTGATCATTGTGGCTAAGTTCAGTCTCATTATTTATTAGCAACGATTCTTCAATGAAGACATTGGTTAAATTTATTCATTTTCAACAAAAACTGATAGATTTCAGTTCAGTAGAATGACTAAATAGGAAATCTAATGAGAAATATCTCAAATTAATAAGTTTTCCAAATGAAATGATAATAAACCAAAAAACAACAAAGCTACCTCAAAAATTAACAATAAAAAAAATTTAACTCTAACAAACTATTACATCAGACAAAGTAATTAAATAAAAAAATAAATAAATAATCAAAAGAATACAGAACAAACAAAACAAGGCAATACAAATGAACCAAATGAACAAGACCAAGGCATAGAGGACATTGACAAAGAAAGAAGCATTTTAAATTTAAAATTTTAATTAAAATTAAAATTTTTAAATTAAAAATAAAACACTAACAATTTGACTAGTTCCTCCTCATCTTCTTCAAGAGTGACAACTTGAACAGGCGCCAATGAAACGATGGGTTCAAAGTGGGGGTCAGGGTTGTCGATAACGACATCTTCCTAAAAATTCAAGAAAAAAAATTAACCAAAAAATACATAACAAAACTTTAAAAAAGAAAACAAAGACTGGAATCTGGAATGGAAGAAAGCAATTCATTGAAAACCACAAAGTAATGAACAGTGAAAAATTTTGAGGTACACCATCATTTGCAGGAAAAAAATACAATTTCAAACAAACATACTTTATCATCGAGGGACATCCTGAAATAAATTGGGCAGGCGAGATGTTACCGGATTGATTCTAACGCAACCGGCCCACAGTTCAGGCTTTTGTTTTTATTCAAAAAAAACTTCTTTTCCGGTCAAACAACGAAAAGGTAATTTTGAAAAATAATAATCGTGAAAATTTGTGTATGCCTTATTTTTATAAAATAAAAATGATTAAAATAATGAATTTTAAAAGTCATATATTTATATAGTACTTATTATCTGTTTTTACATTCAATCTGAGAGAAAACTTGAAAATCATTTATATATATATATATATATATCTAAATATATGTATAGATATATAGAATACAGTTGCTATCTATCGACGAACAGCTCATATAATTAGAATAAATATAACGGCCTTCGCTCATTTTTGACGGTCGAACAAGGAGCTTACTTCCGGAGGGGAATTAGAGGGTGAATTTTTATCGCCCAAGTCAAAAGTTACGATCGTATATTTACTAATTTCGGAAAATTGCTTTTATTTAAAATTTCAAAATGTTTTAAAAGGTACTAGATGCTGTTTTAGAATAGATATTGCTGTATGACGGTTAAGTATCTTTTTGCATTTTAAATAAAAAAAATTTTTAAAATTAAGTCTTAACTCATTAACTGTAACAACACTAAACGACGACTAATTAGTAATTAAATTACTAAACTCTAATAATTAAGCTAAAACTAAACTCTACTGATTCTAATTACTAATTGAAATAAATAACAGATAACACTAACAAACATTATCAGATTAGACTACTAGGAACTACCAACCACTACAGTTAACAGCACTAACAGCACTTGTTCCTAAGATCCTAAATTCTATTGCTTGATTGGTTTTAAAATTTTTATTTACAATGCTTAGGTCTGGGAATAAAAAAATATACTAAATTAAATAAATATATTAAACAACTTATCAATCAATTTTATAAAATAAACAATTTTGTAATTTGTTCAATTCAAGCTTCAAACTCCCCAAGCTACATTGCAATTTAAAATTTATTAATTATGAGTGATTCAAACTAAATTTTTTTTCATTTAATGTTTTACAAAATATTCCTCATTCTTAAATTGTAGTACATGTTGTTATTAAATTTATTAAAGATAATGTGTGATTCCAGTGATTCATCAATCCATGACTTGTTAGATCATGATCATTCAGTTTTAAAGAATCCCCATCACCATAACCAATGAGGTTTGTAAAAATTGTACTTTTAATTTATTATATTTTATGCACTTCGAATGTTGTGTTATTAATTATTATCATTAATTTATTAAATGCTGTGCATACCTATGGCAAGTAAATAAAATGATTAAGCATAGAAATAGCCACAATCAAATTAATTTATATAGGCATGAGTATAATTTGGATAATAATAATTAAAAATATCGGTATCATTGAAAATGGATAAAGTCATAAATTGCTAAAAATAATAGTTCCAGTAAGATTTTGCCTTACACCTACATCTTTTTTCATTCTTATATTATAATAAATGTTTGTTATCAAATATATCAAGGATTGATTTCTCAATCCATGACTAGATTGAATGTCATGATCCTACAGTTCCAAAGGTTCCCCATCACCATTAGTCAATAAGGTTTGTAGAAATCACCCCAGGCATACCATCAATGTTTTGTTGCCACCTTTTAATGTAGTGTTAATAAAATGACATTGAGAATAGTTATTTAAAACAATCTTATTAAAATTATTGAACAGGTATGACAAGATTACTTTCCTAGTGTGAGGAAGATGTAAGCCATTTGTCCAAAGATAATCATATGCCTTATGCCCATACAAATGCAGTGTCAACGCGACTGATTTTTGATCAGAGTCATATGTTCTAATTTTTTTAAACTTTTCCAGAAATTTTTCTGTTAATTTATTTGTTACATTAAATACTTGATGTGTATTTCATATAAAAACTTGATTATGCCAATTTAGTTAACTTGTTAAGCATTAATATAAAATTGACTCTACTTGTAATGGTGATTGGTATGATGATGATGATCCCACTCCTAAGCAGGGTTTATTATTCACAATGTCATTATGCCCTTTCTAAGTTTTAATAAAATACATGGAATATTGGTAAATGCATTTTATATTTTTTGTATAGATAAGAATGTTGCAATGTACAATGATGATGTGAATTGCTTCCTTGTGTAACTGATGACATATAAATATAACTAACTTGAAAACATGGGAATGCTTTCTTTAGCATTACCTTCCTTTCTCCATCATAACCCTTATAATCTTTATTACAGAAATGGTCACTGCATATTCTTGCATTTTTTGATGGAAGCCATGTAAAATCATTTATTTCCTGTCTGATGCACTTAATCCAATCGTTCTGCATTTTTACATTTTGAAGATATCTGAAATTTTATAAACTGTTACAGAAACTTGTGCATTTCTCAAGTATTGCTTTTAATAATAAAATGGTAATCCATGATAGCATTATAAATTATAATAGTCTATAAAATAAAATATATGTAATTGTAAAACAAAATAGTTCTATTCAATGAGTATAGGGATATTGTTACATTTATTTTAGTGTGAAGTTAATTTGAAAATAAACCTGTGAAAAGATGCATCAGAAATTTTCTCATTTCTATTTATTATTAATGCAATTTTTAAATGCAACAGGTAGGCATGTTTGTGTATAGCTACGAAAATGAAAATTTACTTAAAAACTAAATTATTGTATCTGACATGAAAATTAGTACAGAAACATATGACAATAAATGACAATATAAAAATTTAAACATTGATTGAAAGAGTTTATTCTAATTATATGGTATGGGCAATTCGTTGCGAAATTGTTGGAGGAAATGGTGTCAACAGTAGTTATTTTACTGCTTGGTAGTTAATCAGCCGGTATAAAGGTTATATTCAATTCCTATCAAATAAATTTGACAAAATATCATACACAGGCAGAACTAAATAAAGAAATAGATAGATATATACACGTAGTTATAATACATTTATAATGTTGTATTTACACATTCAAATTGTACAATTGTGTTATGGTGTAGTCTCAAATTATTGTGAATTCTTTCAGAAAATTTTAAACGTTTTACTACACTATATTTACTAGTTATTTTTATCAACAATTTAAAAAATTCATCAATAATTAAAAAAAAAATTCAAATTGATTTCATTGTGATATCGATAATGATTTTTGTAACCTGACTGATTAAAAAGCATCAAAGAAAGTTAAAATAGGATGAAGAATTTGTTATATTGGGATATTCGTTTAAAATGCGAGCAAAATTTTAATATAAAAGCGCTTGTAAATATATGCATATTGGCTCAGCTTGGCTTGGCTCGGCTTGGAATTGGATGTTAAGCAAGGTGTGGTCTCAAACTATTTTGAATTCTCCCCGAAAAATTTGAACTGCCTGCGTACATATATAGTAATGGCTACTGTTGTTTTTATAATGAATTTATAAAATATATAAATATACCGAGCAAAATTTTAACATAAAAGCGCTTATAAATCTATGCATATTGGCTCAGCTTGGCTTGGCTCGGCTTGGAATTGGATGTTAAGCAAGGTGTGGTCTCAAACTATTTTGAATTCTCCCCGAAAAATTTGAACTGCCTGCGTACATATATAGTAATGGCTACTGTTGTTTTTTATAATGAATTTATAAAATATATAAATATAGCGAGCAAAATATTAACATAAAAGCGCTTTTAAATCTATGCATATTGGCTCAGCTTGACTTGGCTCGGCTTGGAATCGGATGTTAAGCAAGGTGTGGTCTCAAACAATTTTGAATTCTCCCCGAAAAATTTGAACTGCGTGCTTACATATATAGCACTGATTACTGTTGCTTTTATAATGAATTTTTATTATATATATATAAAGTGACTGGAATCCATGTATACAAATAATTAAATTGTATTATATTAGATTATATGTTTATATGAAAAGCAATATAGCAGATTCAACCAGCCAACCAGAAAGTTTCGAAGACGTTCGTTCGATGACTTCAATTTAGTACGGTTAGCATTGTGGTTAAGACTGTATAATAGTGCAGTATATATATTAAACAAGTTTTTTACAGATGCGAATGATTGAAATGATGAGAATGTATGGTTGAAACGAGTACAAATAGAGGAGCTGAGACAACATGAAAATCAGATCAGCATTCTGCCTCGCTTGAAGCAGTCTGTCTGATCTAATTTATTTTATTTTTAAAATTTTTTTATTTTTATTTGTTTTATTATATAGAGTTATATAGAGTTATATAGTGTTATATAGAGTTATATAGAGTTTGCATGTTTGTAGGTGGTTTAAATGTTTGTAGGTGGTATTTTTTTAATTTTAGGTGAGTTCTTTAACGGTTGCTCATACATACATACATACATCATGTTTGTTTGTGTGGTAGTTTTTTATGTTCTGTTTTACTCCTTTTTCTCTTTCTTCATGAGTCTTGAGTTAAGTTAATGAAGCATAGGTAGGTGAGATAAAAATTAATTTATTATATAGGTAGGCTAGGGCATAAGGTGATTTAGTTACATAGGTAGGATAGGGACTCCTATTCTTTTACTCTACTTGGTGGTGTGATTTTTGTTTTGTTTTTTTTTGTTTTGTTTCACATCATACATTCAGCATTGCGGTGGTTCCTGTTTTTAGTGGGATTTTTATTGATTGAATGTGGTAGTATGAATGGTTATATAGAGTTATATAGAGCATAAATCCTATATAGATACCTTTCTTTGCTCTTCTTTTCTCTTTTCTTTGCCGACCGGTCGGTTTCTTTGGGGTTATTTTCATTTAAATTGAATAAATAAGATTTTACCATTCATTTAGGTTTTTCAGGTTCATTTATCCAGGTTGAAGCTTCCAGAGGAGTTCATCGTGGACGATCAGAATGGTTGTGATGTCACGCTACGTTCGTTCATTCGGTGGCAAAGAATGCACGCCCTGCTGGGGTACGTTTTACGGTTTCTTTGCGGTTCTTTTTTTTGCCAGTTGGCTGGCTTTTCCGGCGGAATTCACCGCGGCTTGTTTTTCTATTTTCATTTAAATTAGTCAAATATATAAGATTTTTCCATTTCATCCATTTATTCAGGTTGAAGCTTCCAAAGGAATTCATTGTGGAAGATGTCAGGCTACGTTCGTTCATTCAGCGGCAAAGAAGATACGCCTGGCTGGGATACGTTTTATTCTTTTTTCTCTGTTTTTCTCTGTAATTTAACATTAAGTAAGAATGCTCACACGCACACGCACATACACACAATTACATTAAGTAGCTATATAGGTAGGTTAGATAGGCATAATTTTAATTGTAGGTAGGATAGATAGGAAGCATCCAACACTAATGTAGTTGAATAGGTAGGCAGCGTAAGTTTATCTCTTCTATTTTTTCTCGCACCCACATTACACGCATCAGCGTATTATACACACACACACACAAATACATACATAAACACATATTAGTATTTGAGCGTTATTTTATTTTCATTGCACATTCTAATTTATTATTACTAAGGTTGAGAGTAATTTAATTTCATAGGTAGTTAAAAGCAATAATTTAATTCTAGGAACAATCTTGTAATTTAAATTAAATAAACGCTGTAAGTGTATCGAAAGGTAAGTTATTAAGTTTTACATTATTATGGCATTACGTAGGTGGTGGGGTGGGTGCCGAAAGGCCAATGAATTGGGCTCTTGAGTTTTGTAATTTTAGGTAAGCTAGGGCCATAATGTAATGAATAGGTAAGTTAAGGCTACGTTGTAACACACACTCATTAATAGATTTAGGGTTTAAGTTTTATATTATTACTAAGTTGAAGCCCAAGGCATTACGTAGGTGGTGGGGTGGATGCCGATTGGCAAATGAATTGGGCTCTAGAGTTTTTTTGTAATTTTAGGTAAGCTATGGCTTAATTGTAATGAATAGGTAAGTTGAGGGTACGATAGCCGATAGACTCTGAATTTCAAAGTCTGTCGTCAGAGGTAAGCCTTGGTGGCCAGCGGTGTACCGGCAATGGTTTACTATCCGGACGGCAATGGTTTACTATCTGCACGGTAATGATTTACCATGCGGCTCGGCCATAGTCTACTACCCGCACGGCTTCCGGACGGCAAATGGTTTACTATCCGCACGGCAATAGTCTACTATCCGCACGGCAATGGTTTTTTATCCGGTGCCCTGGCTGTCGGTGAACCTCTGTGCAGGGAGGAAGAATGAAGGGGGACTTTCGACTATCGTACCATTAACAATTTAATATAGATTTGTTAAGGTAATTGAATAGGTAGATAGGATTATTTTTATTAAGCAATTTGAGATGCAGGCACCGCTAAGCTTTCTGATGAGAATCTACTCTTTATCTTTCTCCATCAACATGGGCTGTGTTTCAACAACAACCTCGAGGAGGACTGGCACCAGTTTTGGAGGACAACGTAGGAACCGGACCGCATTCAACATTCTGCCTTTGTCGAATGGACGACGGTAAGTTTTTTTTACATTTTACTTTATTTTTTAAAATTTTATTTATTTGACATTATTTTCATTTTATAATTTAATTTTTTTGCTTATAAGATTCTAACATTCATTTACTACAACGCAAATAAAAAAATTTTGTTTACAGAATGATGAGAGGTGGGCAGTGGTGGGAGTCAGCACTTTTTAGATGGTGGTCTCATGATGATTTACATATGATGATGGTGGTGTAGGAAGAATCAGCTCGTTGGCTGTTCGACTGACACTCTGAAGTTCGGATGGTATTTTGTGTGCCGACCAGTTGGTGGTGTCGGTGCAATGGAACGACGATTTTTGAAGTATGGTTTAGTTTCGTTTTTTATTTTTCTCATTCGTTCATTTTATCACTCAACCTTTTAAGTTATTCTTCTATTAATTGATTCGTTAATTCATTCTATTCATTAATTGAATCATTGATTTATTAATTCATTCATTCATTCACTCATTCATTCAAACAATTATTCAATCATTCAGTTAATCATTTATTCGATCGTTCATTTGTTCCTTGATTTACTAATACGCTATTAAAAAAATGTCTACAGAATGATGAGAGGTGGGCTGTGGTGGACATCAGCACGTTTCAGATGGAAGTCTCATGATCGTTCCGATGACAATTCGAAGATAACAACGACGGTTTTTGAAGTATGATTTAGTTTCCTTTTTATTTTTCTCATTCATTCATTCATTCATTTTATCACTATCTTTCAAATTATTCCTCAGTTAATTTATTCATTGATTCATTCTATTCATTCATTAAATCATTGGTTGATTAATTAATTAGTTAATTTATTCATTCAACCAATCGTTCAATCATTCAGTTAATCATTTATTCGTTCGTTCCTTTGTTTCTTGATTTACTACTTCGCTAATTAATAAAAACTTGTCTACAGAATGATGGTGGGCTGTGGTTGGCGTCAGCACGTTTCAGATGGTGGTCTCATGATGATCGTTCCGATGACAAATCGAAGATAATGTTAAAGGTAAATTTGTTTTTGTCTCATTATACCTTTGAAAGTACTCGAATTTGAACAAAGATTGAGTGTTATCTCAAAAAGATAAGTTGCCTATTTTTTCCAATTGCTTGTTTTTTATTTTAGTGAATTAATTTTTTTTTCAATTTATTTTTCAGTATCCGGTCAAATTCATTCTATCGATGCGTGTCAGATGATGGTCGGTGCAATGGAGGTTCGTCGATAGTGAGTGAAGTTTCTGGAGAGTGCGCGCCCGCACATTTACATACACACACATCAATACAACACATACATACACAACATCCATTCATTCGGTGTCGTTGTTGCTATGTTTCTTTTCAACTTTATATTTTCTTTACCGTGAACCGGGCTTTAATTTAATTCATAGGTAAGTTAGGGACTGAGATGAGTTAAACAATTGTAGGTAGGCTAGGGCTTAACATTAGTTAAAAAGCTTCAAGTAAAATAAAAACGCTAAAATATGTTGAATAAAATACTTGAAACATCTAAAACGAGAAATACAAATTTGTAGGTAAGTGAGTTGAGTCAATGTTTATAAGTAGCTAGGGCCCTGAGAGTA